AGACAGATATTTCAAGCTTCAAGGGCTATGGCTGGACTGAGAAGAATGTGCTATTCCCAAAGTCCTATCAAACAGGGAGTGTAAGCATATTTCAGGGCTGCTCAGGTACTGAAGTTCCTATAGAACTTAAACCATAAGCCACTATAAAGCCCACCTACTTCTGGACTCATGCTTGTGATTTCAGCCTTCCAGATGGTAGACTATACATCACCGCATTTAAAAGTAAATCCTTCAAGGGGAGAAGATTAAGAATCAGTGAGGACTGACTGGTATTTGTGAGTGTGAGTGTATGTGAATGTGTGTGTGTGTGTGTGTGTGTGTGAGAGAGAGAGACAGAGAGAGAGACAGAGAGAGAGAGAGAGAGAGAGAGAGCAAGACACCGTGTGTTCTCATTAAGGGACGATCTATGATTTGACAGCCTCGCTGCTGCTGCTCCTGCTGCTGCTTCTGCGGCGGCTGTATGGTCTGTCATCAGTTAAAAAGGGCTGCGAGGGTTTAAAGGAACTGCAGTTCTGAAGACTGAGCACTGCTAAGTGGTCTCCCTGTCAAACAAAGTAGACAAGCTTTTCTGCAGGATTGGAAACTTGGACATATTACTGCTTTATTCACCCAGAGAAGCAGGCTGTGAGTGCTACAGAAGAAAAGGTAAGAGAAGAGATTGTTCTCTATTGGGTAGGTAGGGCAGAGCCCCTGGAATGTAGCTCAAAGGCTTGCTATTTTGTAGAAAAGGGATTTCACCCTCTGAGAGCAAAGGAGGCAAGTGCTGATATCCTGCCCTGCTTGATTGCGGAGTCTCTTGGCTTTCCCATCCCCGGTACCTTTGCCTTATTTATACTTTTCCCAAGCACCTGAGAGGCTTCTTTGGTATTAATTTTTAGTTAGCAGATATTGTTTAGTTTTTTCCATTGGGCACTCTTTCAAAACAGGGAGCTTTTTCTCTTCCTTGTTTCTTTAGCATTGTTCTCCATTAAGAGGAAACTGGTCCCTCTTACTATAAGCTGATCAAAACAGTTACTCCATCCTACACTAGAGTTGCAAAAGAGAGAGTTTTCAGAAGTCTGCACGAGCCCTGTTCTTCCAGGAAAATGGGAGATGATAGGAGAGAAAGTAAGAGTTACCTGGCAGTAACTGTGGCTCGATCTGAAATGGTGACGCTGTGAATGAATATGGACTCTAACTCTTCACAGGACGAGAGAAGCACGGTGGTAAAGGCAGGGCTCTGGAAAGAAGATGTTTTGAGAAGTGTTCCACAGAAGCTTCCAGCCATTAAAGATGGAAAACGAGACAGTAAGTGAACTGAACCAGACACAGCTTCAGCCGCGGGCAGTGGTGGCCCTGGAATATCAAGTGGTCACCATCTTCCTTGTGCTCGTTATTTGTGGTCTGGGCATCGTGGGCAACGTCATGGTGGTCCTGGTGGTCATGAGAGCCAAGCACATGAGGACCCCCACGAACTGCTACCTGGTGAGTCTGGCGGTAGCTGATCTCACGGTCCTGGTGGCCGCGGGCCTACCCAACGTAACCGACAGCATCTACGGTTCCTGGGTCTATGGCTATGCTGGCTGCCTCTGCATTACTTACCTGCAGTACTTGGGCATCAATGCGTCCTCTTGTTCAATCACGGCCTTTACCATTGAGAGGTATATTGCTATCTGTCACCCCATCAAAGCTCAGTTTCTCTGCACGTTTTCCAGAGCTAAAAAAATCATCATCTTTGTCTGGGCTTTCACATCCATTTACTGTATGCTCTGGTTCTTCTTGCTGGACCTCAATGTTAGCACCTACAAAGATGCTATCGTGGTATCCTGTGGCTACAAAATCTCCAGAAATTACTACTCGCCTATTTACCTAATGGACTTTGCTGTCTTTTACGTTGTGCCGATGATTCTGGCCACTGTCCTCTATGGATTCATAGCTCGGATCCTCTTCCTAAACTCCATTCCTTCAGATCCTAAAGAAAACTCTAAGATGTGGAAAAATGACTCAACTCATCAGAATAAGAATTTGAATTCAAAGACCTCTAATAGATGTTTCAACAGTACAGTATCTTCAAGGAAGCAGGTAAGCAAATCTGAACATCCAGGTCCATGGAGGAGATATGGGATAGAGTTCCTTATGGGATGGGACCAACTTTGCCCTACTTAGCTGATGGCAAAACCAAAACACAGTCATGCAAACACATCACAATGTGAGCTTCTCCTTTACATATTAAATCTATCTCTAAAGCAACAGAAGATCTAAAAATAGATGGGGAGATCTTGATAAGCACATCAGCAGGGTACCAGTTCAGGCTCTATTAAAATATAAGGAAATATAAACAGGAACTCTAGAAATCCACCTTGAAAATGTTTGTGCCTCTCTGGGAAATGTTATCAAAATATTTAGACCATTTCTGGCTTCTGTAGGGAGCAGCTGGATATCTCTAGGGATTCTATTACACCACAAAGATTTGACAGGATAGTTTGAGAAAAGATGAGTTGAAGAAATAATGAAACTTTCCTTACTATTCTATAATTGCTCGCCGCTGAGACACATAACTGAGAGGGGTTCCTGAACTTGTATTCTTAGTCTTGGGGGGGAAAGATTCTATGACCCTCTCCTCCAACTCCCTACAAAGTTCTCCAGCATGCAGAAGCCGAAAATGCACCTTGCTCAGGAAATGCTCTAATAAAAGGGCTAACACGAAGCTCAACTTGTTACAAAAAACGATTGAATTTTTTAAATGTCTGTTTTCCCTTCTAAGCATAACTAAAGACCTTTTTGTGCTTTCAAATCACCCGAATTCCCATGGGGTTTCAGTTGAATTGTGGTTTTACTAGTAAATGAAGTACAACTTTGTTATAGAAGATACATGGTTTATAAGACAGCATAAAAATAAAATACTTTTATATCTTATACACATTTATCTACATTTATGCAATTGTTCTAAGTTACTTATGAGCTTAGCTTCCAGTTCTTTTTCTTTCTTTTCTAAACAGAATAAACACATGGTAAACATTTATCTTCATAGCTGAAAAAGAAAACTTGAAATCAGCAATACTGGCTCTTTCATATGGGTTGATTTTGTGCGTGTATGCGTGTGTGTGTGTGTGTGTGTGTGTGTGTGTGTGTGTGTGTAGAGATTACAATTCTTCCTGTGTGATAGATGGAAGCAGAGTATACCTTTTAAAGTATGCATATGGATCGTTCATGCCATCACTTCCTAAACTCTAGATTAACTGACATATGAAAATAATTGGACATTGGGCACAAGTGAAATAAACTACTAATAAATGAATTGTCTTAGATATGTGAAATGAATAATGAACTGTAACTGAAAAGAAATATTTATAGCATTTTAAATGGTATTGTGGTACTTGATTTATATAACATTTATTATAAAAGATACCTAGATAACAGAAAGGGAAGAACTGAACAAATATTGCCAGCTCTTAGATTTCTATTTCTTTGAGTCTAACGGTGCTACCTAATACAAGGCATATTTGGCCATCTATTACCCAAAACTTGATTAAGGGAAATTTAGAGAGAACTGTTGACCATCGGCCAAGACAAACATTAACAAATACAATAAGAGAGTAAAGAATATGTACATCTCAATTAGAGACCAAACCTGGGTTGATGTTTGCAGTAAAGAATGTCAGTGAGTAAATTCATTCATTTGACTCCAATTTATATTCTTATCATAAATTCTAAAATATTGTTTATCTGGTCTAATGTTCTTCCTTTCAATTATAGTCATTAGTACCTATCAGCATTAATAATGCACTTTAAATTGCTAATCGTGTTACATGCTCACACTCTTCTTTCAAAGCTGTTACAGATAGGCTATCTTTATAGAGGCTGTGTGGTAGAAGAAAAAGCCAAAAAGCTAAGGAGAAAAAAAAAAAACCCTTGACAATGGCTGTTGCTTATAACCTTCTTCCTTAAATGTCTATGCAATAGACCACTGCATGTGGTCAGCAGACAGCCTGAGTGGTGTCCAGGCCAAATAGACAACCCAGGAAATTGTCAATTAAATTCATGTCTTTCTTGGCATGTACTATTTTATGCTATGTTATAACATTTCAATCAATAACCTCTTCAATACTTTGCCTGTTAAGATCCTAACTAAATTCAATTGCTTAAGTCTAAAAAGCTGGCTTCTCTTTCA